ATTCTGGGTAGTAATTATGTTAATTATTAATTTTGAGCTCTTCAAATGTCTCTATTAGGTTTCTCAGAATGATATAAATAATTATGGTACGAACTTTAGGGTGCCCTATCCCGAAAGTGAAAATGCTACGTGAGGTTGCTCCTGAAGAGTTGGATTTTAGTGGAAAATCTGGTAATCTGCGACATGCTTTCGATGAGGAGCTAGTATACCTAACCACTTCCAAGCTTATGTTTTCCCGCGTTAAGGAAGACGTTCGGGAGGTATGTTGATCTCAGTTTGGTTGCTTTTGCCGTTAACAGTACAATTTCTTGTTGAAGAATCGAAATCAACCTGCTTTTCTTCAATGTGTGCTTAAATCACTTCAAAGTGTTCACTAAACATTCTTGAGGAGTCATTTTTTCAGCGCCAGAATATATTGTTGAAATGTGATCATTTAGTGTGCCGTCATGGCGTTCGTTCCACCGCGGTGCTTCATTTTTTGTGATGGAAAGGGTAACGAGAATGATGAAAGGCTCCTCTCTATAAGCGAAGGTCTAGAGTAAGTTTTATTAGTCTGTACCTAGTCACGAGATAATGAGGCTTGCGCTTTTTTAGGTGTTCAAGCTTCACTCATTAAGTATTTGCTTAAATAGATTAATCAGCAAATCAATTCATTCAGATGCTGAGACCTTCCTCTTATAATCTCAAATTACTGATCTCTCCTTTCTGCTTTACTTTAACTTATAAGGTGCCACAGCTGTTTCTTCTTCTTGCCTTTCATCTCTGTTAAATCCTGTTTCAATTACTTCATCTTGACTTACTAGTTTTGTGAGTTTTATGGGGACCTTCACTTTTTTTCTTAAGCTATTTTTTATCAGAAACGCTGTTGAACAATAACCATAACGGTGGCCGTTTGACATGATGGGTTACAAAAGAGGGGTCATGATCGCTCACGCTTGACGTTCTCTTTACGTGTGCTAAAACTTTCAGGGGACCCTCTCTCCTTAAATATCCAAGTTTCGTCAAAAGGAAAGTGACGATGCGGAACGGTCGGCCGACCAATTACCCCGAAAGCCGTGATGACTTGACTTGAACCGCTTGTATTCTTACGGCTAGTGCACAAATTCCCTGAACAAAGGTCGAGCGCGGACTGTAGAATAGTCTACGGTTTAAAAGGCTCTTAACGGTTAGCAGAGCAAATCAAACACGTTCAGAACAGTTTGAAAAGTAACTTTCGACGACAGTTCGTGACCTTTTTACAAAGTTGAAGTTATAGAAAAATATTCCAGGAATGCGATAATAAATGGGTCTTCAGCTGTGTCTTCAAGCATAAGACCCGGCGAAGCTCTGGTCGGTGCCCGTGATGGTGTGTACATGCGTGTTGCTGTGCTGCATGGTGATGTATGTTACTTTCTTTGCTGCTCTTGAGCTAGTTATCCTGAACAGAAGTATGTCTTTTGGAGCTTCGAAAGGGAATTCGGGTCCATCATTGCCCTATCCATAATGAGAGAGCTCATTTTACAATGACAAGTGCATCGAATATTCAAATCTACCTCTGTCACTCTATTTCTCCGCTTTATTTCGAAATTTTTTCCTTGTTTGTTAGCGATATTTATTTCAATGCGGATATCTTTTCCTCGA